CAGGTTTACAATTTACTACNACTGTGGCGGATAGTGGCGCGTCGCGGTAAAAATCGTAGAGATGGCTGGTTTTCAATAAACGACGGCGCTGCCCATTTAGGTGCATCTTTTCAATTTCCTCCGCATTCAAATCGACTCGCGCCGTCCCGAACGAATGCAGGTTTACAATTTACTACAGAAATATGCTACAAATTTATATATGCAATAATGGAAAATTGTAAAAATCTAGTTATACCAGAATAATGTACCGAGAAATATAAGAATGTGTGCATGTGCATGAAAATCGCGCACGGGGAAAAGTTCGCTCGGGGAAATTTATTTATTTGACAAAGTTTGTGCGGAACGGGATCTGACAGTAGCATAATAATGGCCGAACCTGCGACATTAAGGAAAGTTTAATTATGTGGCGTATGACCAGAGTTATACTTTCAAATGGAGACCGCCTCATTCCGAATTTTGATTACATCTGAATTTATTCCTGTTTGGTGGGGAACCTGAAATTACCAGACGTCGATGAACTTTTGCAATTTATTTCGAGGAACGTCTTTTCGATTTGCTCACGCCGATGGCAATTTAATAATTAGACAAGCGAAGTGATACTATTATAGCCACTGATTTATTCAATACTGTGCCCATTTTGGGTACTGTCAAGGCTACAGAACTTTGGTCGATAATACTGAAAATTTATCCTGTTTCAAAATATTTTCGTTGTTTTTATTTACTCCTAATTTGCAGATTTATTAGGTAATATACAGGGTGTCCCTGAAAAGTATGGACAACGCTTGACCACAGGTTCCCTGGATGAAAACAAGACTATTTAGCCTAACTTACCTATATTACCTATATATAAAAGTGCACGCCTACTGAGATATAGCCTACTAAATATATAACAGATAACCTAGTTTTTTTCAAATAATTTGAAAACTGTTTTTCTTAGAAAATTTGGCACATATCTTTTTATATAAGAGCAATGTAAATATAGAATTTGGTGAGAATACATATATAGGATGTTCTATTTCTAGTGCCTGTGCGCCACTGGCTATCCCGTAACTTTTTTGTATGTACGCCAATGACGATAGAATTTATAGTTTTAATAAGCACCATTTTAGAAGATGTTTTGCCTCTTACAAAATTTTGATATCGTTTATGGATTTCGAGTAAATTGGCATATTTTACACATTAAATAATATAAAATCAGTTTAAGATATATAGAACATTCTAGTACAAGGTGAACATTCTAGTACAGAGAAACAAATTCATAACAATAATTAACAGGTTCTGTATCAAGTTAGATTTAATTTTAGCTTACTTTGTTTTTTTATTGCAATTTATACTTTTGCTGAACAAACTGATATGTTAGTAGTTTTGGGTTATTGTGAAGGAAATTGTTGTGCTACTGTTCGAGCATATGCGGAAAGATTTCCTAATCGAAGAACTCCAAATCACAAAACATTTGCTAATGTGGAGAGACGCCTTAGGGAAACAGGACGTTTTTTACCTGTAACATTAAATCGTGGATAATGTACGGTCGGAATTATTCAGCTGGAGGAACAAATTTTGGAAAGGGTCGAAGAAATTCCTCAAGTAAATAAAAGGCGTTTAGCGGCAGAGGTTGGCTTTCAAAAAGTTCCTTTAATAGAGTATTAAAAGACCAGTTATTACAGGTTACAGGTATTACAGGGTACAGGTAGGTATTACAGGTTATTAAAGGTCTAACAGGTGGATAGGTAGAGGAAATAGTGCCCCTATAAAATGGCCACCTTGATCCCCGGACCTAAACCCATGTAATTATTTCATTTGGGGAGCCACAGTTTAAAATAACTTTTCAGTAAATACAGAAAACGAATATGGGAAAGAATACAAATGAAATTAATGTTATTATGAGGTAATGCACAATTATTGGACAATTTTTAATTTTGCTAAGAACTAAAATTTACGTTTAAGAATTATTTTAATGTGATTACAAATATCAGTTTATTTATAATGTTAATGTTACCTTTCTGACATTATTAGTATATATTGTTTATTTAAAATATTAGTGTTGATTTTTATTTTATTGATTGATAATACTAATACCAAAAATGTGTAGTTATTTTTTTTAATGTGACGTTTTTTCATTATTATTCCCTGCTTTGAGGCTGCAGTTATAAATTATTTTTTATAAATCGGAATTTTTGCCTATATTTAATGTATAAAAAATGCGAATTTTACTCGAAATCCATAAACGATATCGAAATTTTGTAAGAGCAAAAAAATCTTCTAAAATAGTGCTTATTTTTAAAAATATAAAT